AGAGAGAGAGAGAGAGAGAGAGAGAGAGAGAGAGAGAGAGAGAGAGAGAGAGAGAGCGAGCAGGCACTCATTTCTCATGTCTGGCACATCTGAACTGTGGGTTACAAGTTAAAGATCTCTGCTTCTCCACTCCTGGCTGCTCTCGAACAGCAACTACACTTTCTTCATATAAATGGAATTTGGTCAATCAAAGGTTACTGACACACATCAATTGCCAGGCTATAGACAAATAGATGGCTTTGCAATATCATCTCTTATTGTTGTGGTTGGTTAATAAACCTCTCGTCACGCCCTTTTAATAACCCGGTCTATGGGAGCTCCAGGAAACACTGGCTATTTTTCAGGCAGGTGGAAGGAACCACCACAATGAAGGACATAGGAGCCGCAGGTGCCCCCCAGTCCTGGCTGGGTCTCACGGAGAACAGGTAACAAAGCTGTAACAATGGATACTCCATGTACATTTGGACCTGATCCTTTGGTGTTGCTTTGTTTCAGTGGTACATTACAGCCTTTTCAAAATTAGAATAGCAAGTAACTGCAATTATCTTCTTTAAAAATAGCATTAATAAATGTTTCTCAGAAAAGGAGCTAGGTCACTTAAGACATATTATATTTACACTAAAGACAATTCCATTCCATTTTCTTTCTTTTTTTTTTTTGATAGGTTATTAAGTCAGTTTAAAACAATTATTTTTAGTGGTAACTTAAATGTTTAAAAGTTTATTGGGACTATTTTCAACTTAGAATCATGTCATTAAGTTCCTAAAATAAAATAAGGCTGTGTGCTTACTTCAAGGTGGGTATACAGTAGTGACAAGTGGGATTTTCTTTTTAACTTGAAAATTTAGCACAAAGGCAAACTCTTCCCCTAGCCTTGAGCCCCACCCACACATCACCGTTTCTCATTTATGCCCTTCACAGCCTGTGCTATCAAGCTTTGTATCACTCAGCACGTGATGGCGTTCCTGTGTGATGGCGATCCCAACTTGACTTTACAATTTCTCACACGAAAACAATATGATTTTTAACGAACTCTGAAGACATACCCCAAGTTCTCAAGAGGACAGAACAGAAATTCTCTTCTACCTTGCTGTCCACCTGAAGCCTCCCATTGGGCCTGGAGTGTGGAGATGAGGGTGCCGGTCCGGGGAGAAACAATCTGCCAGTCACCTGACTGCCCGGTGCTGAGGCCAGGCTACAAGCTCCTGACTCCTGCCAAGCTCTGGGACAGAGCACTGCCTTTCTTCTTTCCCCTCTCCTCCTGCCTCAGGGAGAGGCGCCCTAGACACGGCATTGGGGGGGGGGGCCCTTTTCCTGTCAAGGAAGTCAAACGTTCCCTGCCCACATTTTATTATCTAAGATCATCAATGACAAACAAGACGGACTACCTATGACAATTCAACGATGACAAAACACTCCAAAACCGCTTGGCAAACGTTTAAGAGGAAGGCTTTGAGTCTCTTTTCTGCACACTCTATTCCTTGTCCTTTTGGCACTCACTCACAGGCAAAGATCAGGTTAATTGAGTGAGTGCACCCTAAGGACCACATGTTCCACATGGAGCCACCCTAAGGACCACATGTTCCATGTGGAGACACCTTGAGGGTCAAGTGTTCCACATGGAGACACCCTGAGGGCCACATGTTCCACATGGAGAGCCACTTGCTAATTGTGAAAAACCCTGCAATTGTACCCATTACCTCAGTGGGGCTCTGGAGACTGAGATCTAGGCCACAGGTAAACTCTGTGTGGTGTTCCACTGTTTCCAGAAGCGGATCAGGCTTTGAAAAATTCCAGAATCTGTGACAATGAAAAGAGAGAGGAGAGAAAAAGAAAACGCAAGTCTAAAACACTTCTATTAACAAGTAGATATATGACATAGAAAAGATTTTTATCACAACAGGCTCAACTAATTCATAAATGCAGGCCCCACTATGGATTTACATAAAATATCTAATAAGGAAAGCATGTATTGCATTCTATTAGATCAAAGAACAAAATGGATTACCAATCTGCCAAGTTTTTAAAACATTACTGTGTTCTCATTTTGATAGCTTGTGAAATGGAAGCTCAGAAAAGGTTTTGTTTAGAAAATAAACTGTTAAACTCTACAAGGCCATTTGGAATGAGACACTGCTTTCTTTCATGGGGATTTCTAAAAGCAATCATGTCTGGAAAGCAAGAGTATTGGATCAGATGAACGCTTACCATTCTGTGATTTTTAAATTCTATTTCATTTCTTAACAAGTAGCATGAAAAGCACTTAGGTTTAATTTACACTTCAACAGTAATTCGGTTTCTTTAAAATGAATCTGTTCTCTTGTGAACACCACTGTAAATGCTGAAACTCTTTCCAGGCGTAGCCTTTCTTAGAGATTCCCCATCAATGCCATTTCTAGAGTCAAGCCAGTATTTTATATTCTACTTCTCCTTTATAAACTGAGAATGACAATATTTACCATAATACAGCTCTGATTTCTGTTGTTCAGAAAATCTGCTCTATTTTCAATACATAAAATAGTACTTGAGCTTTCTACAGCTTTATCTGCTTAACATCTTTCTGTTTATTCTAAACATGTTATAAAAACAGCACATTCAGAATCCTAGGAATCATCTCCTAATTCAGCCCATCTAATGATGTACATGGAACACACTGAAGGCTGGGCTGGCCCCTCTGAAAGAGAGCAAACATACAGAACCAACAGTCACGGTTTGTTTAACCTGGTGGTATTATTTCCCTAATAAACACAGCGCTGTCACTATTAAGTTTTGAAAAGGACTGTTGCTATGGATAATCTCCTGTGTGGGGACCAGAGAGACACTGAACAAATAGCTCATTTATCTGATTACTGAGAGCTACAGGATATTTAGGGAGAAAATTTTACTTTTGAAAAGGTGCCTTTTCAAAATAAATTGAGGGTACAAGCCACAGACCTCAGAAATGCTAATGGTAGTTTTCTTGCTTCTGCATACTTGTTCCTAGACAGTGAACTGTACCAAGATGAAATTTTCTGAATCTTAATGATGTTTATATAAGCAAAAGTAAACTTGCAATTGTACAGTTTTGTTTTTAAAAACTAGTTACACATTGATTTGCATTCTTTGAGACAATAATCAGATGATTTTGCATATATCCACAGTGTTCCAAACACTCCTAATGTTTTCTAAAATATGCATTTAGTATGACAAAAATGAGTTAAGGGAAAACTAAAGCTAGGAAAGTAAGTTGGAACTTTCAATGAGATTAATAAATAACAATTCATCCCATGAAGTCATATGTGCTTGACAGGGAGGCACTTCAGGAGGCTAAGTTTTCTAGCAGCCCCCAGGAAAGGAACATATCATCAGGCCCTGGACCTACAAGCACATTGCTCATCGATCACTTTGGGAAACTCTCCTTTGGGAAATTATAGACCAAACTATGTTTACATAATGAAAAATATATTAAGACCTCTTCAGTACATAGAGATGTGTCGCCAGCTGCCTCTTGCCAGTCAATGGCATCACCCAAAGGATCTTGAGTGGTCAGCTCATATATTCTAGATACCCAGCTCTCTGAGCTGTGGATTTATAGTTATTTCAGTAGATTGGGTAAGCTAAATCATCTTTATATAAACTGCAACAATTGGCTTCCTATATTAGAAGTTTTCAAAGATAATAGAAAGAAACAGGTTCCCAGAATACAATTTCTGTTATTGCTGCTGTGAGCCAACTGAGGTTATGCTGCGTGACACCAAGAGTGGAATGAAATGCCTAAGAAGGACGTGTGTACGGAGCCATCAAAATGGGCTACAAGTGTGAGGAGGCTGAGACTTGAACAAAGTCGATTCAGATGCGCTCAGTATGCAAGGAAACATGCCTTCAAGGCCTCTGAGTTCTAAACCTGGTCACAGCTACCATAACTACAGGAATTATCTATCAGGGGTCTGTGAATTTATTAAAAAAAAAAAACAAAAAACAAAACAAAATACATGGTAGAAGTTCCTACAATTGTAAAAACAACTAAAAGCCCTAAATAAAACACAGAAACAAACAAGCAACCACCAAAAACCATCTCAAGAGCATACCTGAGACACCCTGGGTAAATTAAGTGAAGATTGTAATTCAGTAAGTGGGGTAGTGGCCAACTGGGAAGGGATTTGCTAAACATGGAGAAGGACAGCTTCTAGTATCTTCCCTCTTCTACTTTCGTGTGTCCCTTCAGTGTTTTGAGACAAGGTTTCGTGTAGCCCAGGGTAGCCCTGAGCTGGCTCGTGCATCTAATGCTAGACTTAAATTCCTGATCCTCCTGCCTTGGCTTCCTATGCACTGAGATGACCCCACTTCTGAAGCTTCCGTTTTCTCAACCTTGATGGAAACAGGAGCTGGGAAAGTTAAAACACACACACACACACACACACACACACACACACACACACACACACACACTAATTTTAAAAATGTTGGTACTCTAAAATGCATTTTAAAAATATCATGAGATGTGGTAAGTCTTACAAGCTAAATACACTGAGAAAACAAACGAAGCAGTATGCCATCAGACTATAATTTATCTTCAAATTGCAAATAGATTTTTAATAACAGAAGAAATACTTGTATTATTTCCCTCAATCCTCTGCAACAGGAAAAGAAATACTTGTAATAGCAGCCATGTGAATATTTCAGTATGCACACTTCCAGAATGGCAACACTTATCTCCACTCAAGCTCCACCAGAAACAGTGAGTTATGAGAGGCAAAGTGTGTGTTTCTCCAGGTTTCCTGACTGTGCAATATTGTGAGAAGCCTGCTCCTCCCTTGCATCCTTGTCCTGGACTCAAAAGTTCACCACAGCAGAACAGGGGCTGCCCTGCCCTTTTCTGGTAGAAGCCGGCCCACAGACATTAGCTGGGCAGATAAAGCACATTGTTTTCAAGTGAAATGTTTGTTTTGGTGCAGCATATACACTACTTGGTGCCCTTTTGTCTCTAGGCTGATAAAATCACTGACTATTTAAGCTCTCTGATGGGAAGTAAATACTGGACAAGACTCCAATGATTAAAATATGACAGAACTGTAGAACATTTTTCATTTAAATTGGAGATCATATTACAAGTAGCTTTTTGCCTTCTGACTCCACAGTTCTGTAACAAAGCAAGTATAAAGCACTGTTAAACAGAACATCAAAACTATTTCAAGAATTAAGCAGAAGCTACTTTGTTTCCCTGAAAGGTAATCTGAAATATCTATAGTAACACTGTTGAAGCTTAGGTAAGAGATGAAATCAGCAAACACAAAATACTCTTAAAACCTCACCCTTCCCCTTGACCAACGACAGCCTATGAGTTAGCTGTCAATTCTTTATGACTCTGCCACCACAAAACAGGGACAGGGACCTGTTTTGGCTCTTTTCAGTGTGCTGCCCATGTATCAGTTACAGCTGTATTTTCCCATTTTAAACAGTACCACTGCAGTCTCCTCCATTTGTGTTGCTAATGGCCAAGTAGTCTTGAGAACAATAAACATAAAATGTCGCAGGTTTTTTCTATTCATTTAATAATTTATCAAAAATCTATAGGTCCCACGATATGCATGCTATGATGCTAAGCACCATAAGCCAAAGGAACACGGCTGGGCTTCCTACAGCTCACAAGTCAATGGAGTAGACTGATGGACTGCCTCTCCTTTTCTTTTTAATGGCCAAAGTAGGCAGTTAGTTCAGAAGTTGAGCACGCACTTAACATTCATGTGAGGTCCGGGTTCAATCTCCAGCGATGAAAATAAAGAACAAATAAATGTAAAAGCTATCAAAACACATATGGCAGCAAAGATGGCATGTGCCCCATCCTCCCTAAAGACGATGCAGTGTATGCAAGAACGACAGCTGGAGCAAGGGAGGCCGAGGACCAGTCAGGCGGGAAGCAGAAAAGCAGAGGAGCAGCTCTGCCCGGGTCAGCAGGAGCCTGGCCGCAGGTGACAGGGGCCGAGAACAGGGAAAGAAGGGGAGCTGTGGCTCAAGAAGCTAACAGGGTCAGGAAGCCTCTTGTAGCCCAGGCTGACACTGAACTCACTGTGCAGGTAAGGATGACCGTGAACTCTGGATCCTCTTGCCTCTATCTCCCAGCTCCCAAGATTACCAACATATACCACCACATCCAACTAGGAAAAGTCTAAATTTACAAATCTAGTATCACGAAGCTAGTAAAGAGGGTTCCCATAACTCAGACGGTCATTTACCAGGGACATCTTCATGTAGTATAGTTGGCTTTGCTTTAAAAGGTGTCTCTGGGGCCAGGCATGGTGGGACACAGATGTAATCCCAGTACTGAAGAGGCAGAGGCAGGTGGATCTCTGTGAGTTTGAGGCTAGCCTGGTCTACAGAGTGAGTTCCAGGACAGCCAGGGCTAGGTAGAGAAATTCTGTCTCAAAAACTCAAAAAAAGAAAGAGAAGAAGGAGGGAGGGAGGGAGGGAGGGAGGGAGGGAGGAAGGAGATGTCTCTGGCCACTAGGAGAAAACGGACTTTCTTGCAGAAAGTGAGTTTGGGAAGATCAGTAGTGTAAAGAGAGATGGCAGCATCAAGGGCTCATTTCGGGACAGAACGATGAAGACCAAGTGATGGACTGGAGACAGATTTACACAGAATGCATGGGATGATTAATGAAACAAAGAAATTCCGAATGATCCCCATGTTTCTGGGTTCTGTGGATTAACGTACAGATCTATCATTCTCTGGTGCCCTCTAAGCCCCTTGAATGGAGGGGCAGAGTATTATTCTTTCTATTTCATGCATGCATAAAGTGTCGGACATGGGCTGGGCACGCAGC